CCTTAACCCTAAACCCTATACCCTGATCCCTGAACCCTGAACCCTAAACCCTAAACCCTGAACCCTGAACCCTGAACCCAGCCTCCGCCACGTGCCGGTCTGACAGTGCCACGGGGTCATCCGTCGCCTCCCTTGGCCTCACGCGAAAAGCTGCAACGGCCATCTAAGGCTTAGCACCCTTAGGGTTCAGGGTTGAGGGTTTAGGTTAGGGAAAACCCTAAACCCTAAGTTAGGGTTTAGGGTTTTAAGGGTTATATGGTAGTTTCCTCCATCAGAACTAGAGCCCCTTAATCTAGGGACCCACAAGATGGTGACCCTTTGATTTGGGGAAACCCCCATATAGAGGTTAACGATGCAGATTACACAGGGTAGGTCATAGGATTTGGGTTCCCTGCCTCTTCTTGGCCGGAATGGCCTGCACAGGCTCCACAAGCAAACGGAAACAGCCAGCTACTTAGGGTCTAGGATTAGTATTACTACTAATACAATTGTTCGTACTATTATTTCTATTATTGTTATTCCGATAATTACTATTCGTACTATAATTACTATTATTAACATTCTTACTCTTAAGGGGGGGGGCGCCAGGCCTTCCTCTTGCCGGACTTACCAGACTTGCTGGGTTTGCTCGGCTTCTTTGGAGCGCTTTTGCCCATGGTCGGTCGGGGCACGGCTTCGGCGGGCTAAGGAGGCGGAACTCTTTTGGCCAGGGCCACTTTGGCCCGGCTGAAAGCCAAGGCAAGGCAGGAGTGGAAGAGAGCTCTGAAACAATGGAAAGGTTTAGGGTCGAGGGTTGAGGGGTTGAGGGGTTTTGGGGTTTTGGGGGTTTAGGGTTTACAGGGTTGAGGGGTTGAGGGGTTGAGGGGTTTAGGGTTTAGGGTTAAGGGGTTGAGGGGTTTTGGGGTTTGGGGGTTTAGGTTCAGGGGTTTAGGGTTTAGGTAGCAATAATGATGCTAATACAAGTATTAATGATAGAGTAGTGGTATTAGTACTTGCAATAATCACCATGATAGTACTCGTACTAGTATTAGAAATAACCATCGTGATAGTAATGGTGACAGCAAGAATAATAGTTATAGTTATATTACTTGCGTGGCAGGTTGCACTGAAAGCTCAGGCAGCAGCCACGATGCGGAACTCCCAATCTTTGAGGAGCTGCCGCAAGCGGAACCTTGGCCATTGCATTTCCAAAGTAGAAATAATACTAATCGTCAAAGGAGGAATAGTAAGAAGAATTGTAATAGCAATACTCGTAGTAATAGTACTGAGAGCAATATTAGCAATAGTAACAGTTCTAGCAATAGTAGTAGTAATCGTAGTAGTAGTAGCAGGAATAATAACAGTAGTATAGTCCTCCTCAAATAGATAGAATATGCTTAGGGTATATTGTAATAATCTCCATATACCCCATATTCTTTCTACTTAAAGGGGGACTATATCCCATGTTCAGTCTCTGCCCCGTGCCTGTCCCAGTCGAAGGCCCACTTTGTCCTCCTAGAGATGCGCCCGAAGCAGTAGCCTCTCAGAGTCAGAGGGACTTGGGGTTAAGGGTTTAGGGTCTTAGACTTGGTGGGGTCTTGGGGTCCAGATTCCTTTAAAATAAAGCCCAATAAACCCAAATAGGCCCTTAATATTCCTTGACAAGGGAATGTGGGTCCCAACACCCCCCTCCCCAACACCACCCCAAGCCTCTATGACAGAGTCTTCAAACGAGCGAGCAGCATAGCAGCACATGGCCTGAGTGCTGCAGTCGAGTGTGCGTCTTCAGCATCACCGCAAAGGCCAAGCCTACTTGCAGGCACTTCGGGTTTAGGGTCTAGGGTCTATGGTTTAGGGTTTAAGGTTCAGAGGTTTAGGGTCTAGGGTCTAGGGTTTAGGGTTTAAGGTTAAGGGGTGTAGGGTTAAGGGAGGGAGCAACAAGAGAAGTAGATGAAGCCCCAACTCATCAAGGAACCCCCTGGGTCGGCATTCTCAGAAGAGGCCCATCTAGACCTCATATGGCCCCATTACCCTTCTACGAGCCTTAGGTATGTCTTGTTTGGGGCTATCCACCTGGTAACGACCATCGGGGGGTTTCCATGACCTTGAACCATCTTAAACCCTGATTAACCCCAAACCCTCAACCCTAAACTCTGAGCCCTTAACCTCAAACCCTAAACCCCTAAACCCTGAGCCCTAAACCCTAAACCCCTAAACCCTAAACCCTAAGCCCCTCAACCCTAAACCCTGAGCCC